GTTGCTATACGGCCTTGATATTGTGTGCAAAGCTTCAAAACTACAGTACATATCAGTCATAGTTTAATAATTATTTTCAATCTATTATAGTAATTCACCGTTTCCACGGGTGTATCTTCAAAAAGATACAATAAAGCTAGATTTGTAGGAAATAACATCATTTAGTTATAAATTTGTGAAGGAAATCCAACAGTCAATCGCTTTCGATAACCTTGACCTTGTCATTACCGTCGCTTGCAACTAACGATGAACGGTCGCTCATAAAAAACATTGACTATTCGCGTGAGAATCTTAAGTTTTCTTATTTTGACATAATAGCTATTTTTCAATAAATATATTTATAGTAAACTTATTGAATCAATATTTTATATTTCAGGCCATGCAGTTGTACCAAAAGTTTACATAATATAAGCGCTAGCGCATCCCTAAAAGTTTCAGATGGCATGCAACATGTACGCAGTGCGTACCTATTTTTGAAGGTTGCATTGGACATGTTTTTGTATTGGGTTTCTATTTAACAGGCGATGGTTATGTCGGGATATAATGGTTTTGACATTCTCCATGCAGGAGTAACTGACTTTAACTGTGTTGCGATTAAAGACCTTATCAACTGTATAGGATATTTCGACCAACGTTAGTTCGAACTGTTTTGCTGAAGGGTGGATTAAACCAAATGATGTTTCTACAACGTCTTCGGTTGGTAGATTGCAGAGATACATTGTAAAGAGAATTTCGACGTTTCGAACAAAGGCCCTTCGTTTGGAATGATCACGCTGTACTAAATATAAAAACTTGTAAGGAGGCATGTAGAAATATACTAAAGAAGAGAAGGAAATAATTCATGCGTGTGTAATTCAGATTTCAGATATCGTAAGGTTATTTCGGCGCGTAAGGTTATTGACTTTCTCGCTATTTTTTTGTTTCTAGAAAATAATTTACCTCTATAGCTACCAAATTTATTTCAGTGGAGAAATTCTGGTCTGCAACACTGCATGCAACTGAATTAATAGCCTTTACAACATAACCTATACAGGGTTACGAGCGGTATATAGGTTGCAATCTTGCTTTATCGTGCGACGAAGCAAACCACAAACGCCCGAGCGGACGTCGGTTCATAATAATTTTCAATTGTTTCTGTGCATGCATGTTCGTCATTCTTCTCTGGGGGTGTTAAATTATTCATAGTTAGTATTAATTACTAGTGCTGAACATGCAAAAGGTCTGTGTTAACAACGTTTTTAGGGAATTGAACCACATTTTTCTTGAATTACCATATATAAAATTATGTTTACGTCTGTTGGTCTTGCAACGAGGGACGTGAAACGTACGAGTGTTTGTCAGATCAACGCGGGGTACCTCTGAGGTACATTGAGGGAATATTATTCCCATTGCGCGTTTTTCTATTATTTCATATTTCTATTATTTTCATATTTTCACATTATTTCGTTTTTCTATTAAGTCATTACATAAATAATGACGCAATCTGTTGTGGAAAACGGTGCAGGCACACTCTTAATCAAGCGAATACTGGTTTTGTAAAACGTTACGAGGTCTTTCTCGGCAACTGTAGAGTTAATTAGTATATCTACCTTCTTGCATGTACTGTATAGTTAATTAGTATCTCCTTTGTTGTGGAGTTAATTAGTATCTCCCTTGTTGTAGAATTAATCATAGCTATATCTCTTAGAATAATTAGTATCTCCCGTATAGTGCGTTTGCACTCATTCCCCATGCAGGGACCAAGTTTCACAAAAGTTATCGATTTCAGCTCAAGTTGCAAATAGACTTTCCTTTGCCTTTTCCATCGTAGAAATCCGCTCAAATCTGAAAACACAGCCATTTCTAGTGACAATGACTGTTAATAACATAAAGTTGAACAAAATGCTATCAATTTATACACTAAAATGCCGTTTAAATTTACGGTTTTAACATTGCTTTCATGTGTTTTGTTTATAGAATACTTTTTTCTATGACTATATATTTTATGTAATGGCGGTTTCAACAGTTCGCACGCCAATTAAGACATTTGAACGAGTCGACCTTTCCCCAAATTCTAAAGCACGTTGTGTCTACAATGCGGCAAAGCAGTGAAAGATGTAGATAAGAGACGAATAAGGGAGAATTTCGACCAATCAGTGCATTTGTTGACAATTTCGCTCTAAGCCAATCAGAATGCGTAATTAGTTACTGCAGGTAGTTTCCTCCCTGTGAGCACAGAAAGCCCACTTCCGGTAAAAACATACATTTGAACAGAAAATTTAGGGTCTTAAATAAAGCTTCGACGGGGTGAGGATTTCTAATTGTTTTGATTGAATTTAACGTGACAAGGTAAATAAGAAATTTTCTAAAAATTTGCCGCTGGGATTTGCGTTTTATTGCCTAGTTCTAAAATGATCGGCATTCGAACTTTCGCACTTTTTATACGCCGCTGTTCGAATGCCGATAACTTTAAAACTAGGCAATAAAACGCAATCCCAGCGGTAAATTTTCGGAAAATTTCTTATTTTACCTTGTCACGTTAAATCCAATCAAAAAACTTAAAACCCTAAATTTTCTGTTCATGCAAATGTATGTTTTAACTGGAAGTAGTAACCAATTACGCATTCTGATTGGCTATAGAGCGAAAATGTTAACAAGTGCATTAATTGGTCGAAAACGAAATTCCTCCTTGTTTAAGCGACGGCGACCCCTTTCTTGACATCTTCGATATCTGTTGAACTACAGTCTGGACCGACGCATATATAGCTGTCACAAGTTTTTCTTGTAGTGCGGCCACGTGGTCTTGTATTAGCGATATCAGAGGCGCAGCAACAACGCAAACTGTTTCAATATTAGGTTCCCCGTCGCCGAAACCTCTTCATGCAATCGAGCACGTACGGAGCGACTTTCAAAACACAAGCTTTTCCCTGATCCCGTTGGAGAACTCAAGAACACGTTTTTCCCAGAGCACATACGCTTCAATCACTTCGTGTTGTAGACCTCTCAATTCCTCATACCCAAACTTTTAAAGACCATATTTTATTGCATCTTCCAGAAGAACCATATTCAGATATTCTCTATTCTTTGAAATTTGTTTAGTTATGTTTGTTTTAGATTACGAGTGTGTATCCAATACATGCATTCCAACCATTGTTAACGTTTTTTACTATAAGAATTTCTTTTTATGATTTTAATCTTTCTTGTGAGGTAAAATACGATTTCGGTTCTTTTACAGAGGCTTTATGTGGCAACATCACGTCAACTACAACGTCTGGAGTCAATCAGTAGATCACCAATTTATTCCCATTTCTTTGAAACTATCAATGGTGTTAGTACAATACGAGCGTTTGGCGTACAACAACGCTTCATCTCGTTAAATGATGTGAATGTGGACGAAAATTCTATGGTGAAATATCCAGTCATTCTGATACACAGGTATAGAATGATAACGGTTTTTGTTATAGATTTAAGGCTTTTTTATTTCTACCCATGCACCTATATACGGGTGCCTATTAGCGATAATGCAACCCTTGTGGTTGTTTGAGCACTCTGACCCCATTATACACTCCCCGTTGTACCACATGCCTTGGTGAGAGCAAGTTCATGTGATATAAATACGAATGTCTCACATCGTATCTAGACGTGTACCAAGCTGCACTGCACGAATGCATCTAGACGTGTACCAAGCTGCACTGACGAGACGTAGAACGCCGAAACATGCGTGTCTGCACTCTGCAGGTTATACTATCAATCAATTAACGCTTTAAGCATTCGAGTTAAGCCCCGCGTGTATACTCGCAAAATCATTCGCATATTTATAAGATTTTATAAATAGAGGAATTTTATAAATAAAACAAAACAACATATAGAGTCGCGTTGAGGTTGTACGAAGGCTAGTAGTAGTAATATAGGTACCGTTCGACCCTTATTTTTGAGGGTGCGTAAGGGTGCGTAAGGGTGCGCTAATTAATATTCATACAAATGAGGGTGCGTAAGGATGTTGAGGGTGCGCTAATTAATACTCGTACAAATGAGGGTGCGTAGTGACGTCACTCATTAACATACGTCATAATTATATGCAATGACGTCACGCGGGCGAGCTTAAACACGATCGGGCGAAACTTGCTGACTACGCATTTTTTAGCGTCCCCCACGTTTATGATACAATTGAGAGATTAAGATTGGTTTGCTATGATTGGTTGTTTGATTTAACGAGCGTCTGTATAAAATCGACAAGCGTCTTGTAACAAGCATAGTTCTGCATTAGTTCTACATCAGTCATGGAGTGTCTACACGGAAAAGCTGCTGCCTCTACAACTACAAACAATGGTACATTTTGGTTTTGTGGGGAAAAACCAAGCTGTGAGTTCTTTTGCCCGGACGAAAATTGTTATATGTATACGAGAGCTGTAGCTGCGTTTCGTGCAAGTGGTTCTATACATCCCGTATGTCCTACACATCAGAAATATGCCAAGTTATGTGTGGTCAAAGACACAATGAAAGATAACTACGGACGACCCTTCTTCGTATGTTCTGAGCGAAAGAATCCCTGCAAGTTCTGGCAATGGGGAGACGTGTTCGAAGGTCCAAGACCGTTATGTCAACATGGAATGGTGTGCTGTGAACGAAAAGTCAAGAAAGATGGTCCGAATCAAAACCGTCTGTTTTACTGCTGTCCGAAGGACGACTCTTGTGGTTTCTTCGAATGGAAGCAACAAGGCCCTCGGGTGACCAACACTGGCATCGTGCTCTTCAGTAATCCACTACAATACCAGTACATGATTGAAGAAACAGGAGAGACATTTAATAGTTCTAAATCTAACACTAAGGAGGCCTATGATGAATTTCGTAGATTTGGTTTAACAAGTGAACTTGATAAAATAGACCTCTTGTAATAATAATACGTTGCTAGTTAATTAATGTAAATTTGCATATATTTACTGAAATAAATACTGTGTGTCTCATTTGTTGTTCAATCGTTGTGGTGAGAGTATAATGGATAACATAGATATAATTTTTGATGAGTTGAAACGAAATGAAATTGATATTGATAAGCAAACTTTATCGTTTCATATAAATACAATTCTCGACCGCCATCGAGATCTATATCGTGCAGTAAATGCTCGTGATCTAAACCTTGACCAAATCTACAGAGAGATCAATGTAACAAACTTTGGTTGTATCATTGCCTATTTAGCTTTGGTATATGTGTACAAAATGATAGCGAGGAATCTATTCGTCACAATGTACAAAAAACCATCGAGGCATGTCGAATTTTTACTATTCCCAAACATAAACGAAGTAAACGTCCAATTTTAATAACACTCTCACTCACACTGATAGCTTTATATATCAGTCTATAATTACTGGCTGTTTCATTTTGTTCAAACCTCTGAAGAGTGAGGATGCCTTGCTGTAAAGGTTTACCACAAATCTCTCTTCGAAACATTTTTCGAAAAGTACGCTGTATTTCTGCTTGCTGTGGTGGAAAAATTGTAATTCAAGCCTCAGACATCGATGGCGGAGAAATATCTAAGCCAGATCTATTACGATCCAGAAAGCCCCGCAAGTTTTGGTGGCGTAGATTCCGTTTATCGCGCCGTGAAAAACGAAGGGGAATATGAGATATCGCGGAATAAAATACGCCAATGGTTACAAAAGAAAGATGCCTATTCATTGCATAAACCTGTGAGATATCGCTTCAGGCGTAACCGTGTTATAGTTGGAGCCATGGATGATGAGTGGGAGGCAGACTTAGTCATTATGGATTCATTAAGTCAACAGAATAATGGGTACAAGTACGTTTTAACTGTTATTGATGTACTCAGCAAATATGCGTGGGTTGAAGCGATAAAAGCAAAAACGGGGAACAATCTTGTCAAAGCCTTTGAGAAAATAATCAAGAAAGGCCGTAAACCGAAAATGTTTCACACTGATAAGGGAACGGAGTTTATCAATAGACAGTTTCAAACCTTTTTGAAGAAACATGGCACTCGATTTTTTACGACGTACAACGAAACCAAGGCATCGATTGTCGAAAGGTTTAATCGTACGCTAAAGACGAAAATGTGGAAATACTTTACAGCGAACAATACGCTCAAGTACGTGGACATTCTCCAGAAACTGGTCAAATCTTATAATCGTTCTCGACATCGTAGTATTGGTATGAGACCGGTAGATGTGAATAAAAGTAACGAGAATATTGTGTGGCAAACACTCTACGGGAAGGAGTCGAAAAAATCAATCCAGTTTAAGTTTAACATTGGGGACCAAGTCCGGATTAGCAAAGCAAAGCGAACATTTAAGAAAGGATACTTGCCCAATTGGACTGAAGAAGTGTTCACGGTAACGAAACGCGTGCCTCGACGACCGCCTGTTTACAAGATTGTAGATTATGACGGTGAAGAACTGGAAGGAACATTTTACGAGCAGGAACTTCAGAAAGTCAAGAAATCAGACAGTGACTATTATAGAGTAGAAAAAGTAATACGATCACGCATGCGTAATAAACGTAAAGAGTATTATGTAAAATGGTTGGGTTACTCTGACAAGTTTAATTCTTGGGTACCAGCAGAGAGTGTAAAAGATCTGAAATAAATATATTTGAAACTCATAACTTGTATTCATTTGTGTGTTGGTCTTCAATATGGCAACACAGTTTTATCTCACGTTACCGAGTAATAGTTCTATGGCTTATTTTCAAAATAATACAGTGGCGAATTTTCGAGTGAAATTGGCCGAAACCATTGTCTTGCCAGGCCAATGGGAAGTGGCATTGACGGAACTGCATTACCCACATACGTGGAGCACGCTAAAACGTGGAGTGCAACAAACGTTTTTGTATAAAATTGGCAGTAACCCTTATCAAACTGTCGTGCTTAAAGAAACACAATATTCTTCTATTGAGCAACTAACAAAAGCACTCAATGCCGGCATGTCAAAAGAAACACAAACGAAAGTAAAGTTTAGTTATAATCGTAGTGATCGCAAAGTTTTGGTTGATGTAAAACACGACACAACTGTGTGGTTTACCGGAGAATTAGCAACGGTCTTGGGATTTGACCAGGACACACTTATTGAAAAGAAAACGTCGAGTCCCTATCCTGCAGATATCAATGGTGGATTTTCCTCCATGTATGTCT